CTTTACATACGTCTAGGCTGCAAATGAGTCGAATCGAGTCGAGTTGAGTTTTAATATGTTTGTACTTATTTATTAAGATTTTAACTAGTTTAAACTTGAGCGCGAACTCAATAGAAATTTAACGAATCGAGTTCGAGTTGAGTTTGTTTAAACTTGACTCTGACTCAAGCTCGAGCATGTTCATAAACTTTAACGAGCCAAAAAAATTATAAATTCATATTTACATATAAAATTAAAAGTTAAAATTAATTATATATAACATATACAAACATACTAAAGAAAAGTCAACATCTTACTAAAATAATGATATCTACAACCACCATATTTATCCTATTGTTCATACATATTTTTTTAATTTATAAATAATATATTTATTCAATTATTTAAATAAATATTAAATGAACCAACTAACGACCCAAGTTAACGAGCTGAGTTTTAATATGTTTGGATTTGTTTATTAAAATTTTAATGAGTTTGAACTCGAATGCAATAAAAATTTAACGAACCGATTTGAATGAGTCCTTATTGAGTCGAGTTCGAGTTTGTTCACGAACGAGCTCTGTTCATTCATAACCCTACATTGTCTAATTAAAAAATAAAATATAAAAAAGGACACAAATAAGAAATCAATCTCCTTTTTTATTATTTAATGAAACTTAATAACTTTTCAAAAAAAAAATAACATATATATATATATGATTCACACCAATGACGTAGACTATTTTTAATTGTCAAAAATGTTGTTTAATATGATTCCATTTCATTCATTTTGTCCATTGCTTCTTCACCCCATCTTCGTAGCAGCTTCCTCCATTCACATGCCCTCAAAAGATCTCTTTCACATTTGGTGCAAATCAATTTATTGTCAAGACGCATACAAGTTGAGAAATGTCCCATTCTCCAATTTTTTCACCCCCAATTACATCTCTAATGAAATTGCAAATAATATCAACTAATCAATTCTCTTTAAATTTATTTTTTTCTTGTTCAATATTGCTTGTCACCTCATTAGAAATGTAATTGAGGGTGATAAAATAGGGAATGTAACAAAACTCCATACAAGCTTTGGTAATTAATTAGCTATGTTGTGCTATTACTCCTTAAATCTCCTTTCACTTGCTTCCAAGGAAAAATCATAAATCAATAGGTCAAAAAGAAATCTACTCTAATATTTTTGATTATAAACATATGAGATATAAAAAAATATTCAAACCCAAAGGCCTTATATTTTTTCTTCCCACTATTACTAGAGGTGTTCTTGGGCCTACGTAGTCTCACCACGGGATTTATTTTAATAATTCAAATCGCTCATATTCAAAAGTCTGTTGAGAAAATCATTCTTACAGAAAAATCAAATTGATCAAAATACTATAAATATATTATTAGATTACATTTGTCTTCAAAATAATAAATGGTTCATGATCAAAATTATAATTGACATTTATTTTTTAATAACAAATGCGATCTAAACATTTGCTCAAGGTTATTTAAATAATTTAATTTTTACAAGAATGATCTTTTTTATGAACTTTTTAATATAAACAATTTCAATTATCGAGGTGATCCTTGTGATGAGCCCACAAATACCCAACAACACCTCCAACTCCTAACCATTATTTATAATCTCACCACGCCCATAGTGGTTGAAACCTACCAAAGTGAGCATCATTCCAAGCGAGTAATTATGTCTTGTGAATATTTTCTTACTTACAATGAGTTAGCCTGCCTGTTCACATATCTATTTTTATAATCAAAAAATTAAAAAAAAAATTAAAAATTAAAAATCATTTTTATATGTGAGTTAAGGTGGCGTCTGCTAAAATTGAAAATTAAAAACTGAAGACTAAAAATTGAAAACTAAAAATTAAATATTGAAAACTAAATACAGAATTTTTTAAGCCAAAAAGTTGCTTGATAAAAATTCAAGTGCTAAACTAAAAATAAGTTGTTTGATAGGTAAATCAAATTTGAAAATTTATTACTTTTAAATTGTATATTTCAATTTTTATATTATAATGGTGGTGGTGGTGGTGGTGGTAGCGGTAACGATACTAGTGATAGTAAAACGATGATGATACTTATGACAACAATGATAATGGTAATGAATGTAGTGATAGTAGTGGTGGTGATGGTGGTAGTAGCAGTAATAATGGTAGTAGTAATGTTGTCATGATGGTGGTGGTTATGGTTGTGGTGACGGTGGTGGCATGGTGGTGGATCAGTGGTAGCGATAACTGTAGTGCTGGTGGTTGTGTTGGTGGTAGTGGTAGCGCTAGTGGCAGTGGTGGTGATGGTGTCGTGGTGGTGATGGTGGCAGTAGTAGCAGTAGCGATAACGATGGTGGTGGTGGGGATGAATTTATAATAGTTTATATTGATACTTATATTTATTATTTATAAATTCAATTATAATTAAGTAATTTTAAATGAGTTAATTTTTTTTTTTTAAAGTTTTAGCCAATATTTTAAGAGATACTTAAATTTTTAATTGATATCAATTATGGTTGTCAAACGGACTTAATTGATTATTACTCAGGCCTCGTTTGGAAAGTTGGCTATTTTAGTAGGCTATTTTAGTTTTTGACTATTTTAGTAAGCTAAAATATTTGTGTTTGGGAAGATAATTGAATTTTTTTATAGTTGGATATGATGTTTGTGAGAGAAAAAATGAAATAATTATGAGTTTGATGTGATATTTTGTCTTATTAGTTATTTTAACATATTTGTCTTTTGTGAATTTTAGCCAACAAATCCTCCAAACCCAACTTGCCAAACACTGCCTTAATACATTCAGTTCTAAGTACTAAATCATGTTATCAAACACCCCATCCTCTTTTCCCTATTTTTTGTTGGCCTTACCATGTCGTGGACCGTGAAGTATCCAAATGAATAATTCTATCCCATACTAATAATTTTACTAAAAATACATATGGTTAAATATGATTAATTGTGAAAATAACAATAATATTTTTACGTCTAGTGATATGTGGACATAAATGCTTTTAACAAAGTTGTTAATTATAAAATTTCAAGTAGATATAGCATTGCTCGTATCCAAATATCCCATATGAGTAAATGAATTGCAATAAAAACAATTTACATTTGAAAATTTTGTTTTAAAGGTCTCACTTTCTCACCAACTTCGTCCATCCATGCCGGTCTCACTGTACCCCACTTGCACTCTCTCTAATCCACGGTCTTATTCACATTTGGTGCAAAAGAATGCAAAAATCATACACATTTTTTATTTTTATTTTATTTGTATTTAATCATTTTTTTTATATATTTTAGTAATTGTAAAAAAAGATTAAGTATTTAGATTAAGTACATTTAAAAGTTTAAAAACAAATTAAAATGTGAAAAAAATTTACTACAAATTGTTTTTTAAAAATTTAACAATCAAACAAAACAGAATCCAAATTTTGAAACCTACCTCATACGCTAATGCTTATGCGTGAATAATGACGCATTTTATTAAGGCACACCATAATTAGCTCCGTTTGGTAAGAGATTTTTTGGTGTAAAAAAAATTAAAAAGTCGCAAAAAAAATTCAAATTTCAAATTTCAAATTCAACTCTATTAGTAAAATGTCAAATCATACAAATTAATCAATCAAATTTTTTTTTTTCACAACTATCTATTCAATTAAAAAATCATTTCAAACACATTAATTTTTTTATCTAAAAAAAATCACTAAAAACCTAATTTCCAAGCGGCCTCGTAGAAGAACAATTAACGCCAACCATTTGTATAGATCAGTGGCTACCTAATTGGTATAGTTAACAATAGAAAACAATCTCAATAAACAATAACTATTCACACATATGAAAAGTATAATATCAAATTAACTACTAATTTAATAGTAGGGCAACGCTCCAGACCCCCAGTGGAGGCACCAGCAACCCCACCCCCACGTGGGGGTCGAGGAGAGGAGAGTAAAAAAAATAAATAAATTGAGCCAATCACAAATCATTAGGGGTGGTGGGGGGTCACCCCAGTTGGGGGTCTAAGTCATTTTGCTTTAATAGTATTCACAAATATGAAAAGTATTATATCAAATTAACTACTAATATAATAGTAATTAGGGAAAATTATGCAAATAATCGCTATACTTTACACGATGTGTCAATTTGGTCCCTGTAGTTTCAATTTGCTCGGTTTTGTCCCTTAATTTAACAGATTGTGCCATTTTAATCTAATAAATAACGATTGTTAAGTTAATTTAACAGAAAATCAAACAATGTGTCAATTTGGTCCCTGTATTTTCCACAATGTGTCAATTTAGTCCCTGTCAAAATCTAGAAAATTAAAACTACAGGGACCAAATTGACACATCGTGTAAAGTACAAAGACCAAATTGACACATTATTTGACCTTCTGTTAAATTAATTTAACAACCGTTATCTATTGGACTAAAATGGCACAACCCGTTAAATTAAGGGGCAAAATCGAGCAAATTGAAATAATAGGGACCAAATTGACACATCGTGTAAAGTACAGAGACTATTTACATAATTTACCTTAGTAATTAAAAAGTCAACACAGTCACCAAGCCCAACTACCTAACCCAAACTTAAGAATAAATAAACAATTATAAACAACCCTCACAATGAGACAAAAATAAACACCACACAGAATTCAAATCCTTCTCTAGTGTATATTATTTGTTTTGCCACCATTTCATATCATTAAGAAATGAAAAAACATTATTTAGTTTCATGAATAATTATTTATGAACAGGAATCAATTATGAATATCACTTAAATAGTTATTCCAAACGATCACAGAAAATGGGTGACATATAGCAATATTTGTCTTTAAATAATAGTGCAATGATTGAATTGGTTTAGGGCATTTTGGTTTAAATTAAACAAGTGAAGGTGGGTTAGATTGGTTCATGATTTTCCAAAGGATAAGAAGTTTTAAATAATTATAAGGATAACAAAAGGTCCCACAAAAAATAATTTGGGGAAGACTTGGTAGAACATAAAGTCAGGAATTCTTATCAAGACACATACAAGCTTCCAGGAAAGACCATGTAAATTAAGATAGCATTTCTCTCATCGTTTTCTTACTTGGTACTTCATTTACATATAGTGACATCTATAAATATCCATGGTGCCTAAACAGATATATAATTCATATCTTGGCTCTTCTGTCCTTAATTGGTCTTTCTTTGAGCTTTAATCCAATGGCAATTGTCAGATCCCAAGAAACCTCCTCCTCCAATTCTCATTGTAGTTATGATGTGTTCTTGAGCTTTAGAGGTGAAGATACTCGCAAGACATTCACTGACCACCTCTACACAGCTTTAGTGCACGCTGGATTTCGTACTTTCAGAGATGACGATGGGATTGAAAGAGGGGAGAATATTAAGTTCGAATTGAACAAAGCAATTCAAGAGTCGAAGATTTCAATAGTTGTCTTCTCGAAGGACTATGCATCTTCAAGTTGGTGTCTCGATGAACTTGTCATGATCCTCGAACGCAGGAGGACTGTTGGACATGTAGTTCTACCTGTTTTCTATCATGTGGATCCATCTCATGTGAGGAAGCAAAAGGAAAGTTTCAAAGAAGCATTTACGAGGCATGAAGAGAAATTTCGCGCAGAAGCGAGTGAAAGAGAAGTTGAATGGATTGGCAAAGTGGAAGAATGGAAGGCAGCACTTAGAGAAGCTGCAGATTTGGCAGGGATGGACTCACAAAAACAAACTGATGGGTAATTTCCTCCCAAGTCCTTTTCTTAGCTAAGCCTTACTTATATCACCATTTTTTGAATTTCGTAGATTGAAGTATTTCATACTAGGGCCTTTTGAATGAAGAATTAACTGTTCAAATTTTGGAATGAATTGTTTTGTTAATTATGACAGATTTACATAGTTTAATTTTTGTAAGATAACCTCCAAACACAAAAACAACTTGAATTTATTAACTCACGAATTTTTCAAGATGCTCCTTTTCAAGTTATATGAAAAGATCACGAGTTGCTATTCATTTCTAATCATATTATTTTATTGAAATTTGGCCCATTATTTAAAAGTTTCAACAACTTGGCTTACTAATCAAAAATTGAAAAACATAGAAGTTTATATTAGACAAAAGAGTGTTGTTTCAAAACCATGATAGTGAAAACCCTTTCTTTTCATCTAAGACTCTTCCAATTGTTTCAACAAAGGCAGCAACATGGTCTTTTGGTTCAGTATTGCATGAGAATTAGCAATTAAATTCAATTGATGGCATTCTTATTGTTCTTTATTTTCCATCTTAATCTAATAATTAGACTCGAGTCAAAGTTTATCCAGAAAATTGTGAAAGTTGTTGGAGACAAACTAAGTCGCACAACCTTGGGTATTGCCCCCCACCTGATTGGAATATATTCTCGAGCCAAAACCATTGGGCTTTGGTTACAAGATGAGTCTAGTGATGTTGGTATAGTCGCAATTTGTGGGATAGGTGGAATGGGGAAGACAACCATCGCCAAAGTACTATATAATTCGAACTTTTCAAGATTTGAAGGTAGCAGTTTTCTTGCAAATATAAGAGAAGTTTTAAAACAACAAGATGGTTTACTTCAATTACAACGACAACTTCTTTCAGATATGTTAAAGGGAAGAAAGGAAAATTTGTATAGTGTTGATGAAGGAGTTGTAAAGATTAAAAATGCATTATGTTGCAAAAAAGTTCTTGTAGTCCTTGATGATGTGGATACAGTAGATCAATTGGATGCAATACTTGGAATGAGAGACTGGCTTTCTCAAGGAAGTAAAATCATCATAACCACTAGGCGTGAGCAATTGCTCAAGGCTCATGAAGTTTGTCAAGTGCACCAGGTTGAAAAATTGGATAATGATGAATCTTTAGAGCTCTTTAGTTGGCATGCCTTTGGGAAAAACCGTCCCATTGATGGTTTCATAGAGGACTCGGAAAGGGTGGTGCAGTACTGTGGAGGGCTTCCACTAGCTATCAAAATTTTGGGGGCTTCTTTGTCCGGAAGAAGCTTAAATGTCTGGAAAAGTCAACTACAAAAATTGAAAGCAATTCCCAATTCTGAAGTCATTGAAAGACTCAAAATAAGCTATGACTCTTTACAAGATGACCATGACAAAAATTTATTCCTCCATGTTGCTTGTTTCTTTGTGGGGATGGATGAAGATCAGGTAGTTACAATTCTAGATGGATGTGATTTTTACACAATGGTTGGGATTCAAAATCTCATTGATAGATGTCTGTTAACAATTGATGAACACAAAAAGTTGGTGATGCATCAATTGGTTCAAGAAATGGGAAGAGAAATTGTTCGGCAAGAATCACCTAAGGAGCCAGGAGAACGTAGTAGACTTTGGAATTGCAAGGATTCCTTGAATGTTTTGAGAGAAAATACTGTAAGTATTAACCTTGTTGCTTCTCGTGTTCATTTGTATTTATTTCTATAGTTATTATACTTATATTGAAAAAATGATCTAAAAAAATATTTGTATAATATAATAAAAGAAAAATAGGTAAATTATACCAACAGTTCATCTAGTTTGAGTGAAGTTTACTCTAATTTTTGTATTTTTAATTTGAACAATTTCGTCACTACACTTTTAATATTTATTTATTTATTGGCAATGTGGTCCCTCCATCATGCATTGTTAAGATTTTGAATTGAAAAAAATTATTTGCAAAACTAGATGGACTAAATTGAAATTCAAAACAAATTACAATGACTACCAGTGTAATATATTCATTAGACTGGTGGAGTTTGTTTTGAATTCCACTTTGATATATTATACCAGTAGTCACTGTAGTTTGTTTTGAATTTCAATTTGGTCCCTTCAATTTTACATATAGTCTTTTTTTGTTTCAAATTCTATCGGTAAGTATCAAGGGAGTATGTTGCAACAAATTTAATAGTGTAGGGATCAAATGATTCAAATTGAAACTACAAAAACTAAATTGACATGTCGCTTAAACTACAAGGACTGATGGTGTAATTCAACCCCAAAAAAAATCATCCAGAATAATGTGACAATTATTGGATTTTTGAAATTATGAGCTTCATTTGTGGTTTTCTATTTGAAAAATGCCACATCATTTTGTATCATTGATCTTTGCAAAAATTATAATTTTATAGCGATACTCTTATTGATAAATATCGCCTTCCTCTTGTTCATTGTCAGGGGACTAGAAAAATTGAATGCCTCAAGCTTGATATGAATTTGTTAGAGGAAGATAAATATGACAGGACAATATTTGGCGTTAATAGAAAACGTCATTACGATGAATTCCTCGACATGCCATTGTTGTCAAATGTAGGCAACTCATTTAAGAGATGCTGTTTCGGTTTCTCAAAGAATGCAGGCACTGCTCTAGGAAATTCAAATCAAATACCTTTGGAAGTTGAGGCATTTGCAAGGATGCACAAACTAAAACTTTTACAGCTCAAATATATACAAATAAGTGGAAGTTTCGAAAATTTTCCTAAAAGATTACGATGGTTATGTTGGCATGGATTTCCTTTCAAATATATACCCCACGATTTCCCTTTGGAGAACCTAACTATTCTTGACATGAGTTATAGTAGGTTGCAAATAGCTTGGAAAGGAGCCAAGGTATGTTACAGATATGCATATATATTTAATTCCGTTTGAAAACTAAAAGAAGTACTAATAGTAGTTTTTTTTTTCTTGTTTTACAGCTTCTCGAGTCATTAAAAATCCTTGATCTTAGTCATTCCCATTGTCTCACTAAAACTCCTGACTTCTCGAAAGTCCCCAATCTTGAGAGGTTGATATTGAAAAACTGTGCAACGTTGGTTGAGGTTCATGAATCTGTCGGACACCTTCAGAGACTTGTTTTGTTTAATTTAAAAGATTGCAAAAGTCTGAAGAAGCTTCCGAGAAGCATTTGTATGCTAAAGTTTTTGGAAACACTTGACATCTCAGGTTGCTCAAATCTTGAGGGATTGCCAACAGAGTTGGGGACTATGGAGTCTCTAACAGTGTTCCATGCAAACGAAATTGACATAGGTCGATTATTCTCTACCGGTAAGGAGGATAAATCATGGCATTCATTAATCTGGCCTTCTCTATTGAAGCCAAGAAGAAGTATGGAAATTTCATGGTCTTTTTTACCACAGTCCGTGGTACACTTAAGTCTTGAGAAGTGTAATTTATCAGATGATGATTTTCCTAGGGATCTTAGCAACCTATCCTCGTTGCAGATTTTAAATCTGAGTGGTAATGCTATTCGTAGCATCCCAAACTGCATCAGAGGTCATTTTGGACTCCAATTCCTTTATTTAAATGAGTGCAAAAAGCTCTGGTCAGTTGAAGTGCAGCACAAATTAAAAGAATTACGGATCTATGGATGTACATTGTTGGAGAAAGTAACCTTCCAATCACTTCCATTAACCATAGAATATAATATTAGACGTGGCTGCAAACAATTAACAATGCGCTCGTTGCTACCATTTATGTGCGCGGGCCGCAATGACAAAATAGTTGAGATTTTGGGAATATTCAAGCTTGAACCTTTAGGAAATGTTGACATGGAGATAATTAACAATTTAAGCTTGTCCAACATAGGATTCATGGGATGCTCAAATGTTATGCTTTCATGCTCTCTGCCAGAGAAAGCAAGGAAGTTTCCCCTGCAGGTCTCTTTCTCTCTCTCTCTCTCTCTCTCTCTCTCAGTATATACATAATCATTAAATTAATTATGCTTTATGTCGCACAGGGATGTCATGAAAGACACATATTCTATGCTTATTGTTTGGGAAGCAAGGTTCCAGACTGGTTTAATCTTAAAAATGAAGGATCTTCAATATCATTTACTGTGCCGTCGCATCTTAATTTCAGAATCCGATGCTTGAGTGTATGTTCTATTTATGCACTTCCCAATAATCGAAAAGAATATTATGGCTTTAATTGCGAAGCACATACTATTATCAGTAATACGACCAAGAGTTTGATTTGGAGTCATTCCCCATATGTCTTAGGCATTCCAGAAGCTGATGAGGATATGATGATGTTAAGTTATTGGAAGTTTGAAAATCAGTTGGAAAGTGACGATGAACTGAATATTTCAGTGGTTGGAAATGAATATTTTCAAGTAAAGGAGGTCGGAGTCCATCTTGTGTACAAGGAGCAAGAAGAGAAGAGTAGCCAATCAACTAGTGAAGAAGCATCCCAACAATTCTCTCTCTATGGAAATGTAGTTCCCGGAAATGCATCTGCTGTACGTCCGGCACACAAAAAAGTCTACCGTCTAGGCGAACATTGGGACGATTGTAGCATTTGTAATGGTCTATAATCTCAGCCTTCATGCACTACTACCTCGGGAATTGGTTGTTTCGGAGCTGTGAGATTGGGTAAGCAACGATGTTAAGGATTTTGATTAAGTGATATGAATCGGTTGTATATTGCTAGTGGCTCGGCTTTGTGATTTCTGTTATGAAGGAAGAAGTTATTTCAGTGAGAGAGAATATGTTGCTACTTTTCTTTGATTTTGATGATGCTGCGTACTGCTGTTTAGGTGAAGCTGCTGCTACTGGGGTTATATTTTACTTTGGACTTGATCAGAGTTATATTTTATTTGGAATTACTCATATGCTTTGCTAACTAACTCTTACAGTGCCTGACAAAATCAAATTCGAAGTCTATTTTAAAATAAGAGCGTTCTATTTCGATAATTTGACATGTTCATTTTGTCAGGTATCCACTTCGTCTATTCCATCCACATACAAAATTAAGTTGATTTAATAATCATAACCTATTCAATTTATTACATTTCTCACCAAAATAAATAAATAATTTATTTTTAAAAACACATTTGTTGTCCAAATTTTTGGTGTCAAACCTAATAAATTGAATATATTCCGACTTCATTTTTTTTTGGATGAAATATACGAAATATTGGACCAAATAAATAATTTGAATTATCGAAACGAAACTTGTAATAAGTCCCACGAGTACAAACTGTATCCTCCAATTCAGATTATAGATTGAAAAGAATCCTCTGCCAAAATAATAGGAGAGGGTGAATAGTAAATGAATACTAATCACCCACTTAATAACTAAAGACAAATAAATTCAAGTACACAAAAAATTTGCACATTACAAATTCGTGTGTTGTCATTTTAAATCAAAATATTCAGCAAAATGGATTTTTAATTTTAAAACAACATTGCCACCTCAATTTAACTAATTATTCTATATATTTAAATAATGGAATAAAAGGTGTTTTGCCAATCTAATATTTAATTAAGGTTGAAAATTCCATTATGTTAGGGTCTATAAGACGGAGTTGGAGATGCTGCTGCGCGGGATGCGCAGTAACATCTGCTGTGTGGCTAAATGAACTCATTTTGATAATCCGAACCGTTTACATTTTAGAATACATAAAGTAAAACATGTTTGTAAAAAATCAAGTTAATCGGATATCGTTTACCTATTCATCCACTCACATTTGTATTTACAAAAACAAATAATAATTGTGATTTAAAATATTAAAATGAATATAAATGTGTGGATGAATATGTAAACGATATCCGATTAACTTAATTTTTTGCAAGTATGTTGTACTTGATGTATTCTAAAATGTGAACGGTTCGGATTATCAAAATGGACCCCGAAATGGGCCCACTTGGCTGCACAACAGATGCTGCTGCGCGGGATGCGCAACAACATCCCCAATTCCCTATAAGACTCACCATGGATTCTATTTTGATAATTCGAATAATTTATTTTGTAAAGTTCTCTATTTATATCATCATCCGAGAAAATTAGATCAATCCATTAATTTTAATTTTTTTTATTTTATAATGTTTGTCTCCAAAATATGGATGTCATTTATTTTTTAGGAGATAAATACGATAAAATGACAAGATAGGATTAGAGAAAATTTCATTTCCCCCCTCCCAAACTATACTCTTATGATCAATTTTACACCCGAACTTTTGATATTGTCTACTTCCTAACCTATTTAAATTGTGATCAATTTGCCCACTACTATCACATTTAAATGAAAAAAAAAATTTAAAAATTACATTTTGACCCCAAATTTTAAATTATAGATCCAAACTCATCCTCTTCTATCCAAATTCATCCTCTCTTCTCTCTGCACCTCTACAACTTTGCCGGCCAACGCCGCCACTTATATTGAGTTTAATGATTAAAATATAATTTTTTTCATCCATTTTATTTAATGAAAATAGACTAATGGTTTAGATTAAAAACAAATCAAAAAATTAAGATTTACATTGACAAAATTAAGAAGTCAAGGTTTATTATGTTACAATGGTTAAATTCTGATTTTTTTTTAATTTTAATTTTCCCTTATACTTTTTAATATATAATAAATGGATAGGAGAAAAATTTGACATAAATGTGATATTTTTAGCTCAGTTCTAAACTAATCCTACCAACATAAAAACACAAATGGAGAGCATGGCCAGAGTAGTGAGTAGTAAGTAGGTAAAATTATTTCTATACACCAGTTCTTCTCAATGAACACATTTAATGAGTACATTCTTAGTACACATATCAAAAAATAAAAATTCTCAATACACATTTTTTTATTTTAATAATACCATCATATTCAATTTCAAAATCATCTTTCTTTCATCCACCACCCTTTATTTGCTGTTGTTGCCGCCACTTTCAGTTCTCCATCATCTCTACTCTCAACTCATCTCCTTTCATTCTATATCTCCACAGTCAACCTCGAAAGTGGGTCGTACACGACTTGAGGCTTGTAGGAGTGTATGGTTCATGGAGGAAGGTGGTCGCAGGCAGAAAGGGAAAGAAACGATGAGAGGGGTGATGAAGGAGAGATATGGCGTTGGTAATGGATGATGGTTGTGATATTTTAGAATTAGGGTTTGTGTGGAAGAAGATAAGGACATTATGGTATTTTCATTTTAGGACAAAATTGTATTAAGAAAAAAATTTGTGTAAACTGAAAAGAATTTCCGTGTGAAAATAGGAAATTTGGTCAATGCCTCTTTATAATAAAACTTTAGGATAAATACAAAAAAAAATTCTTCAAAAGTCCACCACACATCACTAGAATTTTAAAATGATATAACTTTTGATTTAGATATCGCTTTTTAATAAAATTAATATTTTTAGAATCCTTTTGTCAATATCTATCACATAAGATACATGTTGGCCATGAAATCTTTTTTTTTTAAATAAAAAATTACCATCAAAATTAACGTTAACAGTAAAATTTTACACTTTATTGTGTCTCAGAGTAAAATTTTATTATAAAATTTTAATTTTTAAATAGTAAAATACTACCATAATCACTAAACACCACAGTCACTATAATTGTTAACAAACAAGGGAGTTTTGGCCAAAAGAAACTTCAACTGTCATTTATAAATAGATTGTCACCAAACAAAACTCAAATTAGAATAAAATTTTTATCGTGAATCAAATGAATTTTTACTATTGACGTTAGTTTCAACCAAAAAAAATATACAATTTTTTTTGTATGAATTTTATAGCCAACATGAATTTTGTTTGGTAAATCTTGACGAGAGGATTTTAGAAATACTAATTTTATTAAAAATCAATATATAAGTAAAAAATTAAATCATTTTAAAGTTTAAAATATAAAACTAGTTACTAAGGGTAAAATTGTTCATAAAAAAATGTAAGCAAATTTGTTTGTCCTTCTTGAAGGATAAACATCTATTGGAAGGAATTTACAAATTAAAAAAGTTTGAATTGTCATTTTCACTAAACGACACAAGGAGGAATTTTTAGTTAAAAAAAATAAAAAAATAAAAAATTCCCTAAAAATAAAAAGGGGAATTTTTTTTAGGGTCCATGTTATTAAGGTTTTATAGCATAAAAGAAATTCAACATTTTAATAATGTCTAAGGTCCCTCAAATTGATCCAGAGAAAATTCGACTTTACAGAAAAAATTTTACCAGAGAAATTCTTGTGGTTTTATAGAGAAATTCACTTCAACTCAGAGCAATTCTCTCAAAACCAGAGAAATTTCCCTCTCACCCCAGAGAAACTCACAAAAACCCAAAGAAATTCCCCTCAAACCCAGAGAAATTCACAAAAATCCAGAGAAATTTCCCTCAAACCCAAAAAAATTCATAAAACCCCAGAGAAAATGCCCCTTCAACCCAGAGAAATTCACAAAAATCCAAAAAAAAATCCCTTCCAACCTAGAGAAATTCATAAAAATCGAGAGAGAGAGAGAGAGAGAGAGAGAAATGATGATGATGGTTAAAAATAAAGATATAAGAATGTATTTGGGTGATGTTTTTTGTCAAACAGTTTAGATGCATCATTGAGATGAAAGAGCTTACAATTCCCTCAAAAAACGGCGTCATCAACATATTCTCTCTCACTCTCTACTAATCAACAGGGTTTCATTCTCATTCTCTTTCTCTTTCTCTCTCTCTCCCTATAGGTACACACACATGCATACCAAGTGAACTAGGGGAATAAGCTTCAAGGTTTTGTAGATCAAGGGCAGGGGCGTACTAGAAAATCTCAATCTGTCTGTGTGTGTGTGTGTGTGTGTGTGTGTGTGTGTGTGCAATTAATCGCCATGGCCCTTCTGCTTCAAAACTCGCCTCAAATCGCATCACAGAGGGCTGTGACGATCCACACAACCTTGCCGTCGAATCCCACGTCTTACGTCCTGCGTCGCCGCCTTCGACGATGTCTCTGGTAAGGATGTCGAAGGCACCGGAGTTTGTGATCTCAAAGGTGGACAATCTGATGAACTAAGCACGCTGAGAAAGTTTAAAGTGTGTGTGTGTGTGAGTGAGAGAGAGAGAGAGAGAGAGAGAGAGAGAGAGAAATGAGGTTTGATTTCAGTCAAAATTTCTTTGTGATATATGGGTGTGGGAGTTTAGGGACCTTAGACATTATAAAATAATATTGTGGATCTCTTCCATTACTAAAAATGAGGGAGAGACCTTAGACTAATTTTTCCAAATAAAAACCCTAAAACTAAAAGGCGTAAAGAGTTAAGAAGTGTGCTGTAACTAAGGCACCATTTGGCATCTCTTATTTTAGTATATATTTTTTTAAAATTTTTTTTATCTTTTTTTAGTCACATCACCTCTCTATTTTTTTGCATATTTTTTTCGTAAAAAGTCAAAAAATACACTTATTTAGATCATTCCAAACACCCTCTTAAAATTAGCCTTAATCATATATGGCCCCTCTTTAGCAAATCAGGTTCGGACTAAAATAATTAATAAAGATAAAATAGATTAAAATAATTAATAAAAAGAGGGTAAACTACCAATAGGTCCTAATAGTTGGACTTAATTTCTATCAAATCCTATTAAAAATAAATTTTAGTAAAATTGTCGCTAAAATTAATTTTTTTATAACAATTTTTTATATATATCGCTAAAAATTGATAATTAGTGAATTTTTTTAGTCATGATTTTTATACATTGTCGCTAAAACTTACAATTAGTGACATTTTTTTATGACAAATTTTTTCTATAGGACCTATTAGACAATAAGTCTATTTATTAGGACCTATATGTAAGTACCACTAAAAAAAATATCAAATCCAAACTATAATTATTTCATTTCTTCTCTCACTACTATCAAATCGAACAACAAAAAAAAGCCAACTACCATCTTAAATATAACTTTTTAGTCAAGCTAAAATAGTTAAA